TCTGATAGAATACTAAAAAACAACAAAACTCTTTGCGCACAAAATTTGCAAGCAAAAATTAAACAACAATATACTCTAAAATCAACAAATAAATTTTGTTCTATCTTTCAGTATCTTTTTCCGACCACTGTTACGGCAACAAACCAAACGATCATCAGAACATATATCCACCCGTGTCAACACTAAACAGCAAAAACTTGCGGGAACCCACCAACACGGGATTCCTGATTTTCTTTCTTTCTTAAATTTTGATGACAAACCAGGTCTTCCCCTCTTTCTTTCTAGCGAAAAAAAAAAAAAACAAAAGTTCATACAGGAATAACATCAATGGCCTAAATCTAAAAAAAATTGAGTCAAAATACAGAGAACAAGGCTTAAAAACAATCTTAAGTAACAAAAATTTTCAAATATAATAGTAATGGTAATAAAAGCAGTAATAGTAGCAATAATTGTAATCATAAGTAGTATTAATAATAATATAAAAAATTCAGTATTTCTTCTTTTAAGATCATCACTTCAAATATTGTCATAATTATATGATATCAAAGGCAGTTAATATAAACCACTTTTGAACACTTTGAAAATTTCAGTGTCCAGTTTTCTTTTTTTCTTTTGGTTGCCGCAAAAAAATATTAGTGCTGAAAAATTTCAAAAAAAAAACTCAGTTTTCAACAGCAAAAATACCTTAAGAGAAAAAAAAACATATTAATTATTCGAAAACAATAAAAAACTGATGTAATTCCGCGAAAAAATTTCAAAGCCTAAATTAAATCTTGAAAAAAAGCATTTATTTTTCCAATCAGCAAAAAAAACGAATAAATAAATAAAAAAAAAAAGAAAACTAGAAAATAACAATAAAGGAAAAAACTTTTCCAATTACCTAAATTAACTTTCACCTCTCCCTCCCCCTCTCCAGCTTTCCAGCAGCTTCTGTTCCTCTTGAATAATTCCTATACTTTTTTTCTGCCTACAACAAAAAAAGTCGAAATAGCCTAAGCTGTTAACTGTAGTGGTGAAAGAAACAAAAAAATTTTGATTTCAAACTAAAGTAGTGGTGCAAAGAACATATCGGTAGAGAAAAAGTTGATGCATTGATTCCAAAAATTTCCTCCTCAAAATTACGTGTACAATTAGCGTAGTTAAGATGCAAAATTGAATTTGGCTGTTAACCTGTTGACGAACAGAAGAAAAAAAGTGTTGTTACAAGAAGGAAGAAAAACAACAATAATAATATTGAGAAAAAAAGAAGCGTCAGTCTCCGTCAGACGTGATTTTCCAAGATGCCAAACGATTACATAGCTGTCAGCAGTAAATCAAAATAAAAAAAACAAAACAACAAAAAAGACGAGACAAAAATGTACGGAAAGGCAAATCTAAAATAACAGAACGGAAACATCGCTAAACATCCTTCTTTCTTAAGATTCTACTGCGGTCGAAAATATGTTTCACCCCGGTGGTGTTATACATAAATCAAAAACATCCTATCGACCACAAAAGCCAACCAGCAAAAGCAACAATTAATGTCGCTTAATGCCTCTAAAGCTAAGCTGTAATATAAAACAAAAAACAAAAACGAAAACAAAAAC